TTTTTTTTAAACATAAAGAACTATGAGAAAATGAGCAAATTTTCAAATCTAATAAATATTAAGATTCAAAAATAAACTATTAGACTCATTCATCTTATCTTTATTGATTTTAAAAGAAAAATGAAAATTAATTTCACCGTTTGGTACAACGGGGTTTGTGGTCTGCGGTTGTACTTAAATTACCAATAAATGCAAGTGATTCTAAAAATGAAGGTTTTATTTGTATTAATGTTAGTGAGAGTTCTTACTTTATCAACACTCTAAAATTCAGCTCGACCAAAGGCTGACCAACGTAGCATAGGACGTGCACGTCCGTGAAATCACATTCTGTTACCTAATCTCCCCACTATATATTACATCACTTGCATGCCACACCCTGTACCCTCCGCACCATTACTCTTAAACCAAAGTTTTCGCTGGAAAATGAGGAGCTCTTTTGCTTCAGTGGCAGCTCTTCTTTACATTTGTCTTGCTCTGATATTGCCGGAGTTTGCAGCCGGTATAACAAGGCACTACACCTTCAATGTATGAACATGCAAGAATAATTGTACTAATCTGTTTTATATATGTTTGTTTATGTTGTATACTAATCAAGTTTTCTTTTTAATTTCTTGTTCCTTAATTCAAGATTAAGCATCATAATGTTACGAGGTTATGCAATTCAAGGAGCATTTTGACTGTAAACGGAAAGTGGCCGGGGCCTCGGGTGGTGGCAAGGGAAGGTGACACAGTGCTGATTAAGGTGGTTAATCATATTGCAGCAAACGTTAGCATTCACTGGTATGGATTGATTAACTCTTAATAATCCAAAATTACTAGCAATTATACTGAGATGATTAAGGTTTATTGGGGGTTTAATCTGTTTTTACAGGCATGGAATTAGGCAACTAAGAACTGCTTGGGCTGATGGGCCTTCTTACATAACACAATGTCCAATTCAGACAAACCAATCATACATTTACAACTTCACAATCACAGGACAAAGAGGAACTCTGTGGTACCATGCTCATATTTCATGGTTACGAGTATCTATTCACGGACCCTTGATCATTCTCCCCGCAAAAAATGCATCATACCCATTTCAGAAACCCTACAAGGAAGTCCCAATTATCTTTGGTAATCACATAAATTAACATAATAAAGAATAATTAACCTATGTTGTAACACTAATTAATCAAAGGAAATTTCAATGGATTTGGTTTTATTGCAGCGGAATGGTTTAATGTAGACCCAGAAGCTATCATCAGCCAAGCTCTCCAGACAGGAGGAGGCCCCAACATCTCCGATGCTTACACCATCAATAGCTTCCCTGGTCCGCTTTACAACTGTTCTTCAAAAGGTACACAATTCAGCTTGTCCATACATTTAATTATGGACTCTCTAGTAGTGATTCAAACCCAAAACCTCTAACTTATAGAAGTTTTAAGTTCTATGACCGTTGTAATATTCGAACAATGTTGCAGACACATATAAGCTGAAGGTGAAGCCAGGAAAGACGTATCTTCTACGATTAATCAACGCTGCACTCAACGATGAGCTCTTCTTCAGCATCGCCAACCACACCCTCACGGTGGTGGAGGTAGACGCCGTCTATGTCAAGCCTTTTGAGACAGACAAACTCGTCATCACACCAGGCCAGACCACCAACGTACTCCTCAAGACCAAACCCTATTTCCCCAGTGCCACCTTCCTCATGGCCGCCAGGCCCTATTTCACCGGCCAAGGCACCTTTGACAACACCACCACGGCCGGGATTCTCGAATACGAACATCCTCTCGGCCACAACTCACATATTAAGCAGCTTCCTCTGTTCAAACCAACCCTCCCTCCGATCAATGACACCAATTCCGTTACGAATTTTACAAAGAAACTTCGTAGCTTGGCCAATTCGAAATTCCCCGCTAATGTTCCCCAAAGAGTGGATAGGAAATTCTTTTTCACTGTAGGACTTGGAACGAGGCCGTGCCCGCAAAACACAACCTGCCAAGGACCCAACGGGACCATGTTCATGGCGTCGGTAAATAACGTGTCGTTTACGCTTCCGTCGGTAGCTATTATCCAAGCCTACTTCTTCGGGCAGTCAAATGGAGTCTACACCACAGATTTTCCGAACAACCCACCGGTGCCGTTCAACTACACCGGCACGCCACCGAACAATACGAATGTGAGCAATGGCACGCGCACGGTGGTGCTGCCATATAACACAAGCGTGGAGCTGGTGTTGCAGGAAACCAGCATTTTGGGTATCGAGAGCCACCCTCTGCATCTACATGGGTTTAATTTCTTCGTCGTTGGCCAAGGTTCTGGCAACTACGATCCAAATAAGGATCCAGCAAACTTCAATCTTGTTGATCCAGTTGAGAGGAATACCATCGGAGTTCCTTCCGGTGGCTGGGTCGCCCTTCGGTTCCTAGCCGACAACCCAGGTGAAACATCATACGAGAAAAACACTCTTTTCCAAGATCCTATATTAACATTAAATTTGATTCTGATTAAGAATATCATGTTGATTTGGTTAACAGGGGTGTGGTTTATGCACTGCCATCTCGAAGTACACACGAGCTGGGGATTGAAGATGGCATGGATAGTGTTGGATGGACCACAGCCAAACCAGAAGTTACTGCCACCACCGTCTGATCTTCCAAAGTGCTGACCTTCGAGTTTGGTGTGACCTTATCCATTACCCTTTTGCAATTATAACTTCACATAAGAGTCGAAGGAAGAAATCAAAGGCATTTGTTTTGGAATGCTGTTTTTCAATCTTTCCTGCACTTAAAAAAACATTAGTTCAGGGTAGAAAAACACAAAAACACCATTAATGAATCTGAATGTATCTCTGATTCATTACGAGTATTTTTGTCATTTTCAATCCTGAACTAAAGCTTTTTAAGTGCAGGAAGGATTATAAAAAAAATTGTGTTTCGCATTTGTAAGTTCGCCAGAATAATTTTTCAGTTACTGTGAACAGAGGTTGCTTGTATGAATTAAATAAAACAAGGTGGACGCATATTGAATATTTATTTAATTAATCATATCATATGTTAATGGTCATTAATTTTGCTTCTAACTAAAGTTTATTTCGTATTTTAATCACTTTCACCTAATTTGCACGAAAAGGTAGTTAATTAAAATATGGATGATGAACTGACAAAATGAGGTCTCCAATATGCTAGCAAGAAAACGACAGTCAACAGTTTAATAACTTCTAAAGTACCCATCCTCAATGAACAAAGTATGCAAGCAGAATGAAATGGGAAAGCATTAAGCATCCAATAATAAATGACACTTCTGATGAAGAATTATAAAGGAAGGAATAACCTCATATCTAGAGGATTGAACCTAAGACGTCCAACTTGGAGTCTCAAGCTCTAGAGATGATAATTTTTATGAAGATTGACAAAGCTATAGCACAATTAATTACCACAATTATGATTGTACAACTGACAGTCCAAAACCTAATTTCATCTGGAGATAGGAAGGGGAAATTAAAAATGAAAAGTTAAAAGAGTTACCTCATGTCTTGTTGAGTTTTCCATATTTTCACTTTTATGATGAGTCACATTAATTCAACAATATCTACAGAAGTTCACATTGAAGTGGTCTTCTCTACAGCATAAGTGTGGAAAAGTAATGCTCAAATTCTTGATCAATAGTTGGTTTCCGAGTGCTTTGTTGAGCCCCTGCATCAAAACAATGGGTAAATTAATCCTCTTAGTACATCTAATAATACTCAAATGATAGATATTCACATGAGGAAGGGGAAAGGATAGAAGGATGATGCAATAACTTAATTTCCTAATACATGCAAACAACATGTCTCATGTTGATTTCAGTTTCTAATGTTAACAATTAATGTATTTGTACCTTGGTTAACAGTCCAACGACCAGACGAAAGGATGTAAGCATTTGCATTTGCATGACTGGTCTGTGGGATTTCTTCAATTTCCTTGTCTTGATATTGCTCAATGATGTAATTTCCATGTCCAGAGTAAATGTAATCAATATGGCTTTCATATTCTAAAAGGGCCTCATCAAGATTCTCAGCTCTATTTAGAATATCAGCAAGATTAGCAGGTTCAAGCTCTCCAGGTGCAGCAGAAGACATTTCTTGGTCTTCATCAATATTCCTTTCAATTATTGTCCTGCCATCTGAAGAACAACAGGAATCAAGGGAGCTGGATCCCCAACCAGAAGCCGAGGAAGAAGCTCTGTCATATTGGGAAATTTTAACATTATCAGCTTCAAATTTAGCTCCAGCATGCACAGATATCACAGAATCATAACCTCCACCAAAACTATTGCTATCTTTTGCAGAACCACTTTCTGATCCATCATCAATAGCCCCTCCCTCAGCTTTAACTTTGGTAGTACATGAACTGGAATCCTCTATTTCTAGGTTCCCATGAAACGTAGAATGAGGCTTAGACAATAAGTTTCCATTTCCACATTGATGCTTTGATATAGGCAAGCCCAACTGCTCGGCATGCAGTTTTCTCTTTCTGTTCAAGTCTGCAACAAGTGCTTTGTTGGCAAGCAACCTGAAAAATTAGGGATGGGGGAAGGGCAAGGAGGCATGGACAGTAAGAGGCTGACCAGCTCAAAGATATTTATCCAAACAGTAGAGGTAAAGGGCCATTTTTAAAGCCACTAAACTATCTACATTATTCCTGGCAAAACCCAAAAATAGAAAGATAGAAACTTCCTCTTGCCACTTTGGCTCAACTATCAGTTTCAAAATCAGAGCTAAAAATCACAATTTTGTTTTAAAACATAGAAATTTAGTCCAAGAATGCGATTGTTAATCAACTAATCCTTAAAATTCAACTTTTATGCACTAAACAGCAACAAGAGACAGAATCATACACTGCTTTTCCTACAAAGATAGCAACTTAATTCACTCACCTCAAATACCCTATACAAACAAAATCCAACACCCCCAAAGAAGAAGCATACCCAGTTCTAGTAACTGCTGAATCCAACAACTGACTAAAACCATTAATACCCAAAATCCAAAGTCCATAAATTCAACAGTAAACTGATGCTCAGAATCTTAATCAAGCACCCATGTATAAGATTAAGTACAATTTAACTTCCAAAAGTCAGTTTAAAATCAATTGGAAAAGCAATTAACTAACTGATGAACCCAAGAAATTAATGAGCTAGAAATCATTAAAAACATGATTCAATAAGGAAATTAAAAACCCAGAAAACCAAACCTTCTAATTGCAGATGGGTTCTGGTTATCAACTTCCATTTCAAGACGGAGAAGACTTAAACTTTGGAGGACACAAGAGCCAGAGTACATTTTTCCCTTCGCGGATATCCGGGAATAAAAATAGCGGTGCCTTGATTTGGGGAGTTGAAAATGAACTCGAATGTACTGTGTCGACGGTGTAAAACACGAGCCAATTGAGCATCACCACTCTCGCTTTAATGTCGAGCGTGAGGGATATGAATTCATAGAGAGCGCGTAAGTGAGATTGGAGGAAAGATGGTGGCACGAGACGAGGCTCGTTGTTTGTGTGAGGGCTCACTTCCGTAATTTTGCGCTTGAGAAGTTCTAAGGACAATCGCCCTTCAGCACTCGCTTTACCACTCTCCCTTAATTTTTTTTTTTTTTCCACGTAGCAAAAGACTAAACATTAAAACCGGATACCGATTATAGTCGGTCCCGTCTCCTTGTACTTTTGCTCTTTGCCCGCTGCCTTTTTCAACTCTTCTCCTTCTCTTTTTTTCTCTATCCCTCTTATTGTTTTCCTTTTCTCCTCTTTGTCAGACAATAGATCAAATAACCAAATCTGAATTCTTCGATTTGAGAACATACGATTTTATTTCAATCCCCATAACTTATTAACCATTATATATATATATTTTCAATTCTATACTTTTTTGTGTTATAAAGGTGAAAGGATAAGTGATAAAGAGTTTTTTAATCTCAATCATGAAATAAGATATTATGAAAGTATTTTTATTGTTTTTATATGAGTATAGCTCATTCTTTTTTGATTGCTTTGATGGGTTTTGTTTATTTTAACTTGATTTGTAAGTTTTATGATTTAGGTTAAGTTGAAATTTTTTCACTTGAACTTGAAGTTTGTTAAATTTGTTCCTTATTCTACTTAAGGGAAAATTGAATTTAAAAATTAGTGACCTTGTGAAACAACTTTGGAAGTTGGACATATGAAACCTAATTATTGGGTTAAAAGTATATCTACAACATGATTTATAACTATTGAGTCAAAAAAGTCAAATGCTTGTAAAGTTTTTAATTAGTGTTTTAAATTTTATATAAAATAAATAATTTAAAGTTTAAACAAATAAAAAATTTAATAAGAGTAAACTTACATCATCTTGAATTAATCTTCATAAAACGCTGGAAAAGGAAATTGAAGGAACAAAAGTACCAAAGGAGATGACAGTGGAGCAGATCTATAGACTAACTTACAAGACTCTTTTTCAAATTTTTTAAAGTATCTTTCTAATAGGTTAAGTGTATGATTATTATATTTTTTTATAATTATTATTAAAAATAAAAATTAATTTATATTTAAATAATTATTCAATTAAATGATTCATGTGACACTAATAATAAAATTAATTATAATTTTTATATATTTTTTAATAATAATTAATATACAAATACAAATTAGATAAAGATTTTTTAAAAAGCATTTTAACACCTTAAAAATCTAACAATAATATTAAATAACGTGGAGCACAGAGGCTTTGGGGTGAGAGAGGGCAGCAATGGCAAATGAGAAAGAAAATGAAAAAGAAAAAAATGGTTTGCAATCGGTTGCCAGTTTTAATGTTCAGTCTATTGTTACGTGTCAAAAAGAAAAAGGGAGAGTGGTGGAGTTGAGTGTTGAAGGGCGACTACCCTTGGCACTGCTCTTTTACGCTTTCATTGTGTTAATATTTAGATTTTTCTTTTGTCTCTTTTGAGGGTCAAAAGTAAATGATTTTAAGTCTTAGAGTTTTCATTCCTTAAATGGCATAAAATAGGTACCAAAAGCTAAGCTGAATTGACCGAACAAATATTATTATCAACTTGACCCAATTGATATGTACAGAATTTCAATCCTCCTCTTCAAATGTGAAGAACAATAATGAAAAAAAAAATTAAAAATTTTTAAATAAATTAATATAGAATAAAAATTTTAATAATTTTATAGTTAATTATGATATTAAAAATATTTTAAAAAATCAATTTTTTTTTATGAATGTTTATAGTTAATTTTGATATTAAAAATATTAAAAAAATTAATTTTTTTTATGAATGTAAAAATTTTAATTTAAAATTAAAGTCAAGACTCAATAGTTTAAACTTTTTTCATGTCAAATAATTAATTTCAAATGTACTTTTTTGTTTTAAAATAATAATAATTATTTTTTTTATTTTTTTCAATTTAAGGATTTAGGAACACTTTGTATTTATATATAATACCCTTAGAAAGAAATAAAAGAAAAAGATAAATTTTTTGTGATTAGATGATTAATTAAAGTGAATGTATAATGATAGAATTAAGATAGGAAGAAAAATATTTATTTATTTTAAAAATAAAAAAATTAATTTAAAATAAATTCAAAATGAGAGAATAACTGTTATTTTGGAAAGGAGAAGTAAAAAAAAAGAAGTCAATGATATTTTGTAGCTTAGAACTTAGGTTCTAACAATGGAGTTAACATTTAAAAAATTATAATTTTTTTAGTTACACCAAATCAACAAACCTAATATTAAATTTCAAGTTGGAACATTAAAATCTTAACCAGACCATATAAACCGGTCATGAAGCCTACCACTGGGTGGAATAGGTTTTTTTTTTTTGGGTAAGAACTAAGAACTGGGTAGAATGGTTGGATCACCTTCAAAGGGCGGTGGCACAAGCGCTCGTTTTTGAGCTCCACCTGTCCCCTTTCCCCTATTCCCAAAGAAAAATTGCCCACACACAAGCAGAAAAAAAAAAGCTCTTAAATTTCAATTTCTTCTCCAGGAATACAAAACTAATTAGGAAGACTTCATTTTCGCCGAAAAAAAAAAACAGAATTTAAGTTTATTCCACTGGGAAAAAAAGGGTGAAAGATCTCAAATTTGATGCATTTGTTTGGGTTTCAAGTTACAACAAAGACTTTACAACGCCTTAATTTACACGAGTGATCCACACTTCTGTTTGCAGCCCTTTCCAGTATCCCTTCTAACCTTACTCTTTGTATTCTGATCCCCTCTTTTTATACATTAACTACACACCTATTTGCAAGTCCCTACAATCACTGTCCAAAACCCACCACAAAATTAGAAAAGAAAAAAGATTGAGAACCCCCACCAATTCAAAAGATGGTTTGCCTAAGACCCTTCCACTGTTCGACATCATTGCCTCTGAACAGCTTTGGTAGCTACCTGAGTCCACATTGAGGCTAAAGTGCACAGTGGTCTCTCCCCTTCCCAAATTACAACAAGCTGATCACTTACAAGCTTAGAACAACTTAAAAGGGAATTGCCGTATCATGCCGTCAGCAGCCATCAGTTCACTTAAAGTTAAAATTTTTTGTTATTTGCCAAGACAATGCCACAAGCAGTGAGACTTGAAACTTCATTTTGTTATTGATGCACCAGCTATGTTGTCATAGGTTGTGCGGAATCGGAGACCAGAACCAATGTGAGTTGATGTGGGGCATAACCAGCAGAGGATATTTGGACCTAGCACCTGAAACAATAACATAGAAACAGTTGAAACAAGGGTTTGAAGGTGCACTCTGGCCTTCTAGGAGAATTTACAGAAAACTAGGTTGAAACTAAACCAAATGACTGGTTGCTTCATTTGGCTGTGTTGGCCTGATAGATGATTAAATGAACATAGCTAGTAGGTTTGAACTTAGGTTTGCTGAAAACCATTAAAAGTTCAGACAGATGGAGGTTGCAGCCAAGATAGAAGCTAAAACCAATATGGGTGAAATGAAAAGGATTCCAGCATCAATCAAAGCCAAATGTTACGCATCCAAGCGAAAAGTAGAGGAGAATAATAGAAAGTACCATGGTGAGATTCTCATAGGTACCAAGATCATATGGATGCTTGTACACATTTCCTCCTTTCTCTGCAAGCCACATAGCTCTTACCCCTTCATGGTACTGCCAACATTATAACAAGAATTGGACAAAAATTATCAAAATAATCCTCTAAATTTGGAAATCATATTAGCAATAATAATGGTGAAAAAATTAAGCAGAAATAATTCTAATCACCTCAATTGTAGTCTTATTCTGCAAAATGAGGTAGATATGCCAACCTAATAGAACACTTAAAGTAATGGTTAAGGGCACTAGCAGCAATCCAGAAATAACCTGAAAATAGTAATACTAATATGGTGAGGACCTAGCAAATTCAAAGTAGTAAAGAGAGAGTTCTAACTCAAATCAAGCAAGTTTCATCAACATTACATAGACTGTTCTGAAAGAGTCTGCAGTTTGCTGCTCATCATTTTGGGAATCATTAGTTAGGCTACCAACAAGCAAAACCTGAAAATTGAAGTAAGCTATTAAAAACAGAAAAGAAAGGAGCTTAGGCCTTGAGCCTTCTGAACCTGGATCCAGTCAGGGCAGTCCAATAAAGTAGAATTACAGAACGAAGAGCTAAAGGGATATAAATGAAAGAACATGCCACAATGAATACATTCATAATGGCATAAGGAAGTATATAAATAACTAGGATAACACAAGTATAAAACATTGGTAAAAATGTATTTGTTAAAACTTACCAGAGAATAGATGCATGATATCACAGCAAAAACAATGAAGACAAAGAAGATCTTATAGTTGGCATGGCCGACGCAATTATTTATCCAGATGCAATGATGGTCCTTACAATCAAGAGCCATTACTTCAATTCAATATACAGGGCATTTTTAAACATGGGAAAGGAACAAAAATAAAGATTTTGCATACCATTCGTAGAACACATCTTTTGCAAACACGGCAGTGATGCGCACGTGGAGGTTTAAAATGCGAACACTTTTGGCAAAATCTCAAGTCCCCTCCCTGGCAAAACATTCCATATACTGGATTATCAGTTTCCTTTTGTACCATATCCACAGGTGATGCAATATGCCTAGAATCAGGATGCTTGCAATCTTTACACACTTTTCTACAATTGATTTATAACGAGACAATCTACTGCTCAATAGAACCATAAGAACCTGCAGAGAGTTTTTCAGGGTTCCAATCTTTACCAGGTTACTTTTCTATAATCTACTCATAATAGTGCAAACTACTTCTCCCATAACTGAACCATCAAAAGCCAAAAATCCATTGTTCACTGAGTTTTCATGACTCATAGTCTCATACCATTGAAATGCATCTAGCTATGTCACATGGACTCTTGATGTCAATCCAAATATGGAACTCACTGCTTCTACAGTTTCAGCTAGTCCATCAAATCAAACCAGCTGAACACAGAATTCACTTAACGAGCAATAACATCTAAAAGAGTTTGATTTTATATGAAATATCAATATTATCAAGTGTATCAACTTTTCTAGATGGATGATTAATGCACATGCAGATCCCAAGTTTGAGTGAGAAGCTAAGCAGGTTGGGCATTGAAGGGCGTAATATGCCTTCACTAATTTTAACTAGAGATTCCTGTGAATCTGTGATTACCACAGTTAAAGCATAGGTGAGAACCTTACTTTCTTGTTCAACAAGGGAAAAAGGCTCTTATACTCATTGTGGGTGAAAGTCATTGCCATAGGTGAGATCATATGTGGCGACCATGCCCACCAGTTATGTCAGGACGTGCTTTAAGTTTTCCATTTGGCATAGAAAGAACAATAAAGAGGATACACGACAACAAGGGTTGATCCAGAAGACGACAAGAAAAGGACTAGTAGTTAAAGAAACTGTCTATGGTAGGCAAAGTAACCATCTTTATGAATATATGATTGAAATAAGCCATCAGTCATTAATACACTCATAGCTTGATGTCATATTGAGAGACATTTTCCAAATGAGAAATATACTGATCCTACCCATGAATGCAGGAGATACCGTAACAGAGGTAACTGACCCTTGCCAAAATTTACTAGCCAGTGAGTGTTTAGTCATTTTCTATAAAAGATCATCCAAGACTATAATCTTATGATAAAGATTTTCCTCAACCAATTTTATTTCCATACCTTAAAGAAGAACTTAAATTGTTCCTCGGATGGAAACAACTAAATACAGCAACAGCAATCATATCAAATCTCAATTTTCTTCCATTCTAAGTTAATTTTACCAAATTTAGAAACAAGAACAATTCCTGGACCATTTCTTTTCTCACATGCAAAAATCTGCTAATCTTCTCCACTCCAGATTAGCTCCCCAAATGCAATAATTATAGCAAAACAAGCCAATTCACGCATTAAGCACTTGATAGATACTATCTTCTCCCTAATTTAACAAAAAAAATTGCAATTATCAAACAAACAGAAAGGATATGATCAAAATGTTTGCCAAAAACCACTCAGAATCTCCCAGAAGAATTAATCAAGACCAAAACCATGCTACATTAACCAGAAAAGGCAAAAAGATCTAGCTACAGATGTTTGAGATCTGCGTATACCTTGCGTTTGATCTCGTGGACAGGATTTTGGGCATCTTCAATGTCGGGAACGTAAGACGACAGGACCCGACCCGGATCCTTCCTGATGGCGCCGGCGTAGTTGAAAATGCACATTCCGGCGACGCCAGTGAACACCACGGCATTCATGATGCCTGGAGAAGACATTAGACCAAACCAACGCTCTATGAAAATGAAGATCGTAGAGAAATATATGAAAGCGATAGCCGAAAAGACGGCGGCCGTGTGGAAAGAAAAGCTGCAGCCTCTCTTCATTGAGTTTGGTTCCTTAGGATGTTCCAGCGAGAGGACGGAGGGCACCGGCGCTGAACGACGGCGTCTCCGGGAAGGGGGGATATATTAATTTTTATTATAATTTATTTTGTCGATGGCAGGAGAGGAGCTCGATTTTATTTGGAGGTTGGTCGCACCTCGCACGGCTCCGGGCATCTAGATGATGCGGTGCCGCTAAAGTTTCTCGTTTTATTCAAATGCCCTTTATCTCCTTCCGTTATCAAAAATTGACCCCACTACTCATTACATTGACACATGCCCTTTTTTTTTCTTTAAAAAAAAAGAAGAAAAAAGCCCTTTAAGTCTTTACATTTTTTAAAGCAAGACACATCTTGAGATTAACCAATAATTGGATTTAGTAACAATCTTGATAGTGTGTAATTTTGAGATTAACACATAATAAAAAAAAGATAAAAATTAAGATATATTGATATCAATATTATCTATAAAAGAAAGAAATGAACACCTAACATCTCTCTCTCTCTAAAACAGAAAAGCACTCTGCTTTTTGAATTTTCCAAAACATTAACAAAAAAATCAATATTATCTGTGAATTTTTTTAAATAAATTTTTTAATGTTGATTCAAATGTTGAAAATATTTTCCTTTGATAAATTTTTACTTTTTTCTTAAGCAACAAAATAAAGCACTACCATATGGGTGCTTTCTAATTACATGTTTGCTATTAACAACAATTTTTATTATACTCATAAAAAAACACTTTTATTATCAAAATAATTTAGAGTTATTTATTTCAGTATTTATAAGCCCATAATATCATCAGTTATTTAACTTATTTTTGCTCTTCACACAATTTGAAGTGAAAAAAACTTGGAAACCTTTTTGCCTACTTTTCCTAATGTTACCAAATATAAAAAAGGAAAAATTGATGTAATGATATCACAATAAAACATCATTACACAAGCTAACAGCTTACAATATGGTACCTTTCAAACTGTTCTTTTTTTGTAAACTGACCTCAAACCAAACATGCACTGAAGCCTAAAGGGAAACGGAAGATAGCTGATAGCCTTCAACGTTAAAACATTTGATGCTTGATAAGGAAGGCATCCTTAAGCCATCCTATGTTTGTTAAATGTCGGTTGTTCCTGAAATGTTCAACTCCTAACAGCCTTTTGATGTTAACATGTAATGGTATTCCACTTTTTTAAACACTTTCTTAAACTTCTAGCTACTTGGTTTGGTACGTTAGTTGGATCATGTCTTAAAAATACATTAAACTGAAAAATAAATAAAATAAGGAGAGAAAAGTGAAAATAAGTGCATTATATCATTATAAGCATGATATTTAATCTCAATTATATGATGGATGGGATTTAAATGAGACTAACATTATATTTTATTTATCTTATGATTATGATTAGATATTTAATGTTTTAATTTTTTGTAAACTAAAAAAAAACTAAGAAAAAACATTGTAAATAATTGAAATGTAAAACTCCAGAAGTTGAATTTATTAACAAGTAAGTATTGTTAAGTAGACTATATTTTAAGTTTAAATTTTAAGATTAGTATAAAAAATTAATTTCTTCAAGTATATTAAATCAATATAA